TTTTTACATTTAAGTTAGTCAGGGATGATGAGTGGAATGTCACTGCCTCAAACTAGTAGGATAAAAGTTAACTAGAATTAAACCATTGTGATGGAACTATATATAAACCAATATGATGACGTCAAGCCATTGTTCTTGCAGTTTATTCTGAACCGGGAACACTTAACGCGCATTTCCCCAGGTCAAACTGACGCAACAATTAGTCATCGTCCAATATGACAAAGAAGTTATAAATCAACCAAAACGTGGGAAGTAGAAGACACATAGTTTCACAAAGTCTCCATTCCATATTACGCAATAGTTTAGAAAGTTAATAAACCCAGAAGACTTGTCCCGATTAGATGACGCGATGTCGATTTCACATCCCACGGATACCGCTTTGAGTTGTACATTTCAACCATAAACAATAACGTGTCTGACAGTGTTATGACAAGTTGATACTGACATCAAGGGTGCACTAAGTACTTTGCATATCTCCACGGGGACAGAAAGCAAAAACCTGTGAATGTAACTGCACAAGTAGCATTTATATCATGTTCCCTGAATAAATCTCCTCTTTCGAATAACAATATGATTAAGTCCTTTGTGGCCCAAATACAAAATGTCAGTTTATTATCGTTTAGAAAAAGCATGATCGGCACTTCAAATCAAACCAATTAAGTTGTTCTAAGTTCATCAACATGATGTTTTTAAATACCACTGTAGAACGTTGCGACCTTTTCCCAATTACGAATGCAGTATTACGCAATCAAGAATCGGCAATATGTCGACGTCACATGTGAGAGATTAATTACATCCAATGTGGCGTTGTATCAACAAAGCGTTTGATATAAGGCGACTACTTGTGCCTCGTCAGTGGTATCGCTATAGCAACCATTGCTCCTTAAACTGGGAGGGTGGTTCCAAAGATCTGGAGCGCCTCGCTACCACCAGCCTCTGAAAACATGCCCCTTATCCGTTTTAGAGCCAAACAGGTCGTTTTACCAACGCGGTACAACTGTAGTTGGGGAAACGGTAGAATATTTCCACCTACACATAAAGACGTTCGCTTTCTCAAAATATAACGGCTAATCTTCGTCTTCCCCAAACTAACCCTACAACCCTACCAACTGTGGGAGGTCCCCATATCTAGCGGCACCGCATCGTACTTGGGGATTTACTACAGCGGAGAAACGGTATTGCACTTTAAGTACGATGACGGGTTCTCATGGACGGGTCAACGATTTAGTGTGCCGTAATTAAAGAATGGAGTAACTTTCATAATTCGATACCCTTGAGAACAATTTATGCCCCTTGGTAACTGACGTAACTAGGTTTGTTTATTTTCTACCAGGCCCGATTAGGTGTCAGACTGACATTCCAACAACTTCAACAAAAGGAATTCCGCTTCGTGCAACAGGTGCCTGTACTGAATTATTGACACGCCGCACACATTAACAATGACATGACACGTTTTGTTTTAGATATTTTAAAAATAGTTAAATTTACATGTCTTCTGTGGTCCAGTTTGATTGATTTACATATTTGTGACTATTTTGATAAATAATAAAAACATAAATAAAAACATCAATACTGATTTAGAAACTACTATGTATATCATAAGTAAAAAATTTCATTACAAACATAATTTCGTATGATACCGTTATGTTCTCGTTATTAACAGTTAACTTAATTCAAATTAAGAAAAATGAAAACTTTATGACAAACATGGACTGTAGTCTGTCTCATCGACCCTAGAGAATACATATCAAAGGGAGACCAGCTCAAGTTAGAACGATTTGGCAAGATTGCCTCAGCTAAACAATTCAGCATTGCTGTGCTTCCATATGGATATATTTTATTTTTTGTAGATATATATTTTAAATACGACAGTTTTGTTTCTGGGGCTAAATATCAGTCCAATAAACACCGAGCACGATACACCTTACGGCCATTGACTGCAAATGAGGTTTTGGTTTGGGTTCCCCTGTTCCGTGGCATACAGATGGAGGCTGTTAGACTCGCTCGGTAACACTTGGCAGTGGCAAAGAGGCCGCTCCGAGTTAAGCCCTGATAATGTAACTTCCGTCTGGAAAGTAATTATTTCATTCCAAGGAGTCCTCTAAAAAGACGTGCTGTGTCATAAATAGACCTACAGTCTCAATGAAATATACACACGTCATTCAACACGTGTTTAGCACAGAAAGAGGGCGGTGTTGTTATTCGAAATCTCAAAAACGACTTTTCATTTTTACGTCATATGTTTAGAATACAAAATGTCATTCCCGTTTGACTTTCCGTTTGTACACATATACAGACATATACAAGTCGTATATATTAATAACAAAATTGAATTTCATAATTTTAGAGTCGTGCCATCGGTTTCACAAACGATTTCAACACATCTGAAGAACAGGCTGACTTAATGAGACGAACGCAGGGTACCATCGAATAACCGAAAGAAGAAAGAGCCATTATTACATCAAAACGTGAATTTATTAAGCTTTATCCGGGCATGAACGATATACATGTGTAGCCCCTAACCAGCATGAACAAATACAAAGCCAAAGTTCGTTAACCATGTGCAGACCCTCCGGTCAAGTCATCAATGTTTACGAGGGGCAGGGAGATTGATATCTCTGAAGTGACCGGTACGATGGTCCTGAATGTGTTTATGGAGGAGCCATGCACTTAAGCCATGCTTCTAATCAACACGTGGAATATGGACGCGTTGTTTAGTAGGCCTGTGAACGCGAGTGTGTAATGTTATACATGTAGTCAGTGGGTAACGTGCGATCCTCACGAAACACTGGGAATGTATGTAGATTTCATGGCGTAGGTCAAAGTAATTACTAGTAAACTCTTCGTTCCTCAATACAGCAGGAAGGGTGAGAGTAGTGGTACAAAACCACGATGCAAAATTATCCCGTCACTGAGATGCTGAGGGAATATCCCCCGACCCTCCGCCCACTACGAGTAACCCCTCACCCACCCCACCCCCAGATCACCCTACGAATACGCAACTATCCCATTTAATCTCTGCACACCTCACTATCAATTATTATCTTCTTCACACCCACTATCCCCAATCACCCCCTCACCCAGCCACTACCCTCCTATATCGTCCCCACACACCTCGCTATCCCCCTCATACCCCAGTATCCCCATCCTCCTCCACACACCAGATGTCCCTTCCCCAACCCACATCAACACACCTTCCCCCCCCCACACACCATTGCCCACTATCCCTCACAAAACAGACCCGCCCTATCCCCTCGACAAAGATCAGCCGTGATTTAGTCTGCCACACAGACATTGAAACAAATATATCCAAGAAAACCCTGAATATATACCAAGTGTAGATTACCATTGTTTCTGAAGAAAGTCACTGGGCTCCTTTATTTTGTAGTTATGAATATAATTGAATATAATTTAGAAACCGTATTGTCTGAATATAATAGACTTACGTTTAGTTGAATATGTAAAATATGTAGCCATTAAACCCATTTAAATTGAAAAGAGTGAGACCAGAGATGGCTGAACCTGAGTCTAGCTTGCTTTATTTAGGGCTTTAGCATTGCAGAGAGGGCTAAGCATTGGGGAAAATAATATGGTTCAGGGACTGTGAGACAGACTAGTAAAATATGTTCATTTCAGAGACAAGATGTCAGTCTAGCCGGGTTTCAATGGATAGATTTACGTGACACGTCAAAGTCATTGTAATTGACATTAATTGCATAGATTACGTCTAGAATAGATGTAATTGCACAAGCGTGTTTCATCACATATTTAGCAACACGATGTCTTAACATGTTCTCTGACACTCACCATCGTAATGACATTTCTTATACGATTGCCATTCAACACCATTACATCCACCGCTAAGCCGTTTAAGATACTTAAGTGCTCATATGAAAAATGATAATGAAGTATTTGGTATACACATGCAGCAACTTCATTTAAGGAAATATTCTAGAGGTAGGTACAAACATCTGAAATGCAACCCTGGCTAGTCATGACATTCAATGAATCATGATGGGATCTGTTAGTGAACAATAAACAAACATAATGAAGCGAACATGAGAACGTATCAGCTAAATTCAATGGTACTAGTATACATTTTCATGAACACGTGTCCAAAGTGAAAAAGAAAATCAGTAAGCCTCATAAGCCTATATTATGCATTTGCTTACTAAGCATTTAAGCCACACTGTCTTCATGTTTACATAACCCGAGATGCAAGTGAATGTCTGAGACAAAGGTGAATGCACTGCAAGAAACCGCTCGATCTTTCCCAACGAAATCACGCCAACATCTTGATCGATATTTGTGATCGATAGATAAATCCCGTAGTCATCATTGTATTCATTAGTCAAAATCACTCGTCTAATTATACCCAAATGAGCATAACGACAATCTTCGTTGTGGTAATAAGAGAGTCTGGAGCATTCACGTGTCACTGAATTTAGATAGTATTATTAACATTCTCAACGCATGGGCGCGTTTGTAAAACCCCGTATTTACATCAGACAGAGCCTGTTTGGTGTTTACTTAAACTCCAACAATTGAGTAAACATCGTCTTATCTTGAACAGATCGCGCAATAACGAGGGGGTGGAACTTTCTTGAAAGTTGACATTGATGTCGTCCAGTGCCTATCGCTGGTGCAGGTCTGCCACGGTGACGTCTGATAAGACAACTGTTGCAACTAGCTGTGTGGCTGGTTGACTGATGGTTTGGGCAAAACAGGTCCTGGTGTAAGATTTATTTTTGCATCTCGGGAGAAAGTTTGCCAGTACCCAATATCTCGGGCAGGTTCGCGCGTTACACGTGTAGGCTGGGAAACACGCCTGCAGGATGTGCAGTGACGGATATTGCGAGATCATATGCTGTATACATAAATCTACAGAGTAAACACATGTTGTATACAGACCTGCTCACGAAGGACCTTTAATCCGGCATCGCTAGTACTTGAATAACAGTGACGTGTCACGTGACGTGCAACACTTCCTGAAGCCTTACCTTTGACCTTGAGGCTGTTCCAGACTCCTCCCAAGGTCCCAGTATGGAGAGGGGTAAACAGGAGCCATATGGTGTCAGTGGGCGAGAACTGACCGCTGTGATCCCACGTGCACGGCCTCATTTCCCGGCAGATCGTAGCGAGCTGTTCATGTATCTTCCATGGCGGCCGTTCTACTAGCAGCTGAGCGCTGAAGGCAGACTGCACGGACACGAGGCCTGCTTGGGGTTTACAATCGATCGACTCTTCGTGAAGCGTCGTTTTCCAGCCTGGTAATACAACACAACGCGTTGCGTTCTCCCGTACTTGAACACGCCTGTTCCTTCACCCTAGTTACGCGACGATGACGTCAGGCATGTGACGTCAGAAGCCGATTAATTATGAGGTCGCTAACGTCTCTATCGATATGGATTTTCTCAAGCCACTGATTGACTCCATTTCGACGAGAACAGCCGCGGGCATAGACCTGACCTGGGAAACACATCTTGTGTATTACGTGGACCTATGGCATCGTCAAATTAGCATCCTTGGAGTTGTTTGTGGAACTATTCGAGAGGCAGACCATATTTTTACCGTTATCTGACTAATGAGTGGCTTGATTGCGGAGCTAGTGTGACATAAGCAGCGGTGGAATAACGCCGGTCAATAAAGATCGATATCAACTGATGGCGGGCCCTAATCGTTGCGCTTCTTAGTCCTCACACTTTAACCTCGCACTGAGATCGATGAAGACTAGCTGAGAGCTTAGCGTTTTCACTTGAACTTCCATTACCTCCCCTTCGATAAAACTTGTTGCGTGGAACCAGTTCTACAGCATTAAATAGCACTACAGAGGAGTGCAATCTTGTGCCAAAATTTTATCGGCAAAACAGGTTCCAATAATGTGATACTGTGTGTAGAATTTTGTGGTATTGACGAGGAAAAAACAAAACACTCTAACCTGTTTCAAATATAATTATGTGTAGTGAGTGAGTATGGTTTTACGCCGCTTTTAGCAATATTCCAGCAATATAATGGCGGGGACACCAGAAATGGGCTTCATACATTTTACCCATCCGGAAAATCGAACCCGGGTCTTCGACGTGAAGAACGAAGGCTTTAACCACTGGGCTATCCCACCGCCCCTAATTATGTGTAAGTTGACACACTGAAGTGAGTGAGTGAACTTTGTTTTACACCGTTTTAACGGTATTCACGTTATATCACGACGTGCCAGCTTAATGTGAGAGAAAAGCCTGAAGTGATGCAAGTTTTAGACATGGGGCGCTTTGTTGAAACCCACAAACACGTCTATGGCGCTGGCAAACCGAGAAACACAACAAAGGCTTTGAGGGATTCAAACCCACGATCATAGCTTCCGGGCGCGCCAACGGTGCCTGAGACGAATGGCCTAACCACATGTGCGTTTTGTGTGCGTCCGTGCGTGTGTGTGTGATGGTAGGGTTGAGAGGGAGAGCACTTGGAATGACAACAATGCTTTATGGAAAGATACCAATTATCGGGGGAAAACGCGTAAGTGAATATTGCATAAAAATATACTTCGTGGCAACGAATAATGGATGTGTTGTTTTTTTCCATCTCCAAACAGCAGCCAGTGTTTGTGGTTACACGTTATATTAATGGACCCGCCTTACGCTAACACACCAAGCGAGTTAACGCGTCCAGTATACACTCATATATTCCTGCAGGAACGTGTATTGACGGATTGTAAGGTGCGTGTTAATGAAAGAGAAAATAACTGAAAAATATAATATGTATAAGGTAGTTATTCTAACGGCGATATTAATCGTGCAACACATGTTATAGCCGCTATACCATCTGCTCGAGATATTATTTCGATAGAAAGCAACGATAGGGTTAACACAACGTTCATGCAGGGGGGTAGACACATTTGACACGGCCCAGTTTCGTTGCACAGCTTTCAGATAAGATCGAGCAGTCTTATGCGAAAATTTCGACGAGCTTCATACCTATCAGGGTTGTACAACATTCAAAGCTTCAGTTAATGTTTATGATAGACATGTAATGGACATTTCCAAATTGACAAAAAACAACGTCCCATACTATTCCCAACCCACTCATGTCATTAGTGCCACATGCATTTGTTTCCGTTTGGTCCAGTTCCACAAATAATACTAGCGCTAAGACGATCGTAGGTGTACACAACGCCGTGAATCATTTACGATGATTTGAAATTGATTTCAAGGATACATGTACATGTATTTATACCATAGTCGTAGAGTGAGTGAGTTTAGTTTTACGCCGCACTCAGCAATATTGCAGCTATATGGCGGCGGTCTGTAAATAATCGAGTCTGGACCAGACAATCAACTGATCAACAACATGAGCATCGATCTGCGCAATTGGGAACCGATGACATGTGTCAACCAAGCCGGCGAGCCTGACCACCCGATCCCGTTAGTCGCCTCTTACGACAAGCATGGGTTGAAGGTACATTCTAACCCGGATCTTCACGGGTCCATAGTTGTAGAGGTAGCATACTACTGTGAGTGATATTTGTAACAAACAAACAAACATTGCTGTTACGGGTGTGGTGATTGTTGATGTATTTAGGCAGTACTCACGCATCTAAAAACCAAAACGTCAACGCGTAAAAATTTAAACTTACAAGCTCCTTAGGAATTGAAAGTATAATTCAAAACCTAGACCGGTACACCATGGCACACAAGCCTTATATGTAATAAATACATCCCAAAGAGGTAAAGGGACTTACATGTATACCCCTATCTCTCAAAAGACAAACCCGTGAAGATCCAGGCTAGAATTGGTCTTCAGGAACCTATGCTTGTCGTAAGAGGCGACTAACGAGATCGGGTGGTCAGGCTCGCTGACGTGGTTGACACATGTCATCGTATTCCAATTGCGTAGATCGATGCTCATGCTGTTGATGACTGGTTTGTCTGGTCCAGACTCGATTACTTGCAGACCGCCGCAATATAGCTGGAATATTGCTGAGTGCGGCGTTAAACAACAAACCAACCAACCAATCAAAAAACGAAATGTATCTGCTATGGTTCCTTAACTTTCCACCACCTGTACATATGTCATGCCGTTGTGAAGGTCACGTCCATTGCTGTTTATGCGAATGACAATTTGATGAGTAAACATCATATGTTTGTTGTTATAAGCTCGGCAGATGGATCACCGGAGTCAGATGAATGCTCCAGCAGACATAAAAGCAGGCGGGTTCTTTTGAACTGGTGAAATGGCCCCCTTCCGACGCTTTGTGGCATTCAGGACTCGACGTCTACGGAAAGCCATTAGGTCTGACCCAATACAAGACCTTCTGACTCAAACTACAACACAGAGATGGACTTGGACTGAGGAATAAACGACCCCGCAGCTACATTCTTAGTCTGTCTCACAGTCTCGAACCGCATTATTTTCCACCTGCCTTGCCCTTCCTACAATGCTGAAGCCCTAAATGAAGCTAGTCTAGATTACCTCAGGTTCTGAATCTCCCATCTCGGTGGGGCTCCTTTTCCATTTGTTTGTTGCCATCAAATCTGTTATATATTTAGAGACTAAGCGTTAGTCTACCGCATTCTGAGAACGCTAGCATAGAGACGTGACGGTACGATGCCAATGGGAGTAAAATAGCCTATCTGTCATTGTCGACTGCAGATAGAGATTTGTCACTGCCCAAGCAGAGACAGACACCTTCATGGACGTATCCTGCTACCCAACACCGACACACGATGTAACGATGATACCATTTACACTTAACGAGTAGTAATTCTATATTTATCGTGTTTATCACATAGGAACATGTGTAATATCACAGACTGATAAATCGACAATAGTTATACAAAATCGCGGCAGGTATCAACTACACCCACATGACGTGCATGTACATCTCACAGATGTTCAATGAGGTTAAGGTCAGCGTATTTTGTCGCCCAATGTAATACATATACCAGATGTTTCCATTCCTAAACATACCAATTGATACACGAGCTGCGCGTTGGCGGGATCGATCCGTTTCGACTTCTAGCTGATGACCGAGTTACGTCAAGATCACAAAAACAAACTCATCAATATCAGCTTTATGGTTGGGAACGGTCCGGAATTTCGTTCGAGCACGTCTTCAACCACGACTCCTGCCCTCTGTAAAGGCGACACTAAACACATAGGGACACTTGTGACGCACTATGACGTCGTGACGGCGTTGGGACACCCATGACGCACTCTCACGTCATGGCGACGTTTTGACACCTATGACGCACTTTGACGTCATGGTGACGATGGGACACCTATGATGCACTCTAACGAGGTGTCTCATCGTCGCCATGACGTCAAAATGCGTTATAGGTGTCAAAACGTCGCCATGAGAGAAACATTTACAACGCACACACCACACTTCACATATACACAACAAAAATACACCACAGTACACATACAGATAACATACACACCACACTACACACATACAACACACTACACATATACACAATATGCACACTACACATATACACAATACACTACACATATACACAACATACGCACTACACATATACACAACATACGCACTACACATATACACACCACACACACAACAAAATGCACATATACATAACACACACAGCACAATACACAATATACACACACACACACACATACACTACACACATACACACACACATACTACACACACACATACACACACACTACACATATACACAACACACACATACAACACACACACACACACACAACACACACAACACATACACACACACACATACACACACCACACTACACATATACACAACACACTACATATACACACACACACTACACATACACACAACACACACATATACACACACACACACACACATACACAATACACAACACACACATACACACACACATACACAACACACACATACACATACACACACTACACATATACACACTACACACACACACACACACACACACACATACACACACTACACACATACACAACACACACATACACAACACACTACACACATACACAACACACATACACATCACACTACACACATACACATCACACTGCACATATACACACCACACTGCACATATACACAACTCACTACACACATAAGGAACTACACACATACACAACACACTATACACATCACACTACCCACATACACACCACACTACACACACACACACCACACTGCAGATATACACACTACACACATACACATCACACACGCCACACACATATGCACAGACCTGTGAAGGTCCGGGCTAGTATATTGATCTT